GGGAAGAATGCTCCTTACATTGGTGGTCAGGGGGAAGAATGCTCCTTACATTGGTGGTCAGGGGGAAGAATGCTCCTTACATTGGTGGTCAGGGGGAAAAATGCTCCTTACATTGGTGGTCAGGGGGAAGAATGCTCCTTACATTGGTGGTTGGTGAGAAGAAGAAGAATGTCCCTTACATTGGGGGTCAGTGGGAAGAATGTCCCTTACACTGGTGGTCAGGGGGGAAGAATGTTCCTTACATTGGTGGTCAGGGGGAAGAATGTTCCTTACATTGGTGGTCAGGGGGAAGAATGCTCCTTACATTGGTGGTTGGTGAGAAGAAGAAGAATGTTCCCCTTACATTGGTGGCCACAATGCCCCCTTACAGACAGCAGAAAAAGATCATTGGGGTCATGTTGCTGGCTCTGCCCAATGGGGTTGACCCTGGAACTATTTAGGGATCATCATATGGAAGTCCGATCAGCCACAGCTCAAGGAACCCCTAGCCACCTCCTGGAGGAACCCTGGATGAGAAGGACTTCTCCAACCCGAGCGTTTTGCCGATGTGCAACAATACTGAACAATAAGAAGAATCCCATTTTTTTTCTTTGTTCAGTGGTGCCGGTCACATCTGAGCATTGTGCAGTTTGATGATTGTTGCTCAAAGCCTAAAAGTGGAAAAAAAAATCCTTGAAAATGTCTCTAATACCCTACGCTGGGGTGTGAACGGGGCTGAATGTGATGCAGGCACCATTAGAGGTCATCACTTCTAAACAGCTTCCTACTGATTCTTCTAATGATGGTATTTTAGTACGTTGTAGGGGTTGGTCTAGGCCATGACTTGAATAACTAAAGTCAAGATTAACATAATAATGCCTCCTGTTTGGTTCTCTGGGGGTTTTGGGGCACTTATGATGATGATGATTAAAATTGCATCAGAGGGTTCCAAAATTGTCTCCCAGGATGTCTGTTCATAGCAGGGAAAGGGTTACATGAGGCAAGCCTTTCTGTCTGATGTGGTGGAGGTGTGGGCAGGGCTCGGCCATTTGCCGTGTGGGACAGCTGGTGGTATCAGCTGTGGTATCCTGCGTGTAGCTGGTTATAATGGGAACACTCATAGACTTGTAAGTGCACTAATAAGGCAATACATGAATGTGAAGTGTTCCTCGTATGGTGTGTGAAGGTGCCTTCACGTCATCCTGAATAGGACTGATTCATCCGCCATTAAATCCAGTTTTATAAATCTGGCCCATCATTGCTCGGGTCACCTTTCATGTGTCTGGAGAAAATCTAATAACCTGATTTAATTTGCTTCTCCTGCAGCAGGAACACCTATATATACTCGATGTGTCAGTGATTGCGCCCTGCCTGAATCCTGCGTCCCCTCTGGGTGTTCCTTTCTTACAAACATAATATTCGTCAGTATATTGGGGATTACTCAGCGTGTATGTTCTCCAAACAGTTCCGGGGCTGGTTTTGTTCCATCACAAAGTATAACATCTTATAAATCTCACTGGTGGGTAAACTTGAACTAAAATGATTACTTTCCAGAGCAGCTTCCAAACCATAGGGACCGTGAGTGAGGAGTTGTTGTCCCTAATGTGTACAGCGGGCACCAGGAGTTGTAACTTTTAATGCATAGAGTGGGTACCAGGAGTCGTCACTTACCATGCGTAGAGAGCGGGCGCCGGAAGTTGTCATCTACAATGCATAGAGCAGGCACCAGGAATTGTCACCTCCCATGCATAGAGCAGGCACCAGGAATTGTCACCTCCCATGCATAGAGCAGGCACCAGGAATTGTCACCTCCCATGCATAGAGCAGGCACCAGGAATTGTCACCTCCCATGCATAGAGCAGGCACCAGGAATTGTCACCTCCCATGCATAGAGCAGGCACCAGGAATTGTCACCTCCCATGCATAGAGCAGGCACCAGGAATTGTCACCTCCCATGCCTAGAGAGGGCAGCGGGAGTCGTCACCTCTGATGTGGAGAACAGCGGTTGCAACCTGTAGCCACCTTTCATGTTGGAGCATTCTGTATTACCTGTGTAACCTGCTGCATCAGACAATCGGGTGTCACCTGGTGACCCCAGTGTGCTCCATGACTCCAGAGCATCATCAGTCACCTGGTGACCCCAGTACACCTTGTGACTTTAATGTACCCCCCCCCGTCGCCTGATGACTCCAGTATGCCCCTATGTGCTCTGTGACTCTGGTGCATCTTGCCACCTCCCATGGCTAGAGAGGTTGCCGGGGCTCGTCGCCTCCCATGGCTAGAGAGGTCGCTGGGGCTAGTCGCCTCCCATGGCTAGAGAGGTCGCTGGGGCTCATTACTTCCAATGGCTAGAGCAGTCGCCGGGGCTCGTCGCCTCCCATGGCTAGAGCGGTCGCAGGGGCTCATTAGTAGGATAGATACTGTGAGAAAACTCCCAGGGTGTACTACAGACTCCCAACTGTAAATGATCACGAGAGGCTTAAAGCCCCAGTGAACTTCCAGTTTATATCTGCTAAATACATTCTAGGTGCATGAAAACAAGGTGTTCACTTTGCTTCTAAAGCTGTAAGTTACATGTAGCTAACAGTGCATGATCTGTACTACCTTACGGCCATTGTCTGTGACATAAATAACTAAAATGGTCTTTTCCCTCCTTTTTAGAAGTGAAATAATATGTCAATGATGTGTAACCCGCCCATGACTTTTCCATGTACTTGTCGCAGTTGTACATAGGGTGCATTATAAGAAAGGAAAACGCCATGCAATGTGTCGCTATGCTTTATCCTGCTGCAGTATTCCAGTTCACCCCACAGTATCGGAGCATACTGTGTCACCTGTGCGCCCTGTTGCATCCGGTGTCACCTGATGACCCCAGTGTGCACAATGACATCAGAGCATCTTGTGTCACCTGGTGACCCCAGTGTGCTCCACGACTCCAGTGCACCCCTCTGCATCAGACAATCCAGTGTCACCTGGTGACCCCAGTGTGCTCCATGACTCCAGTGCACCCCTCTGCATCAGACAATCCAGTGTCATCTGGTGACCCCAGTGTGCTCCATGACTCCAGTGCACCCCTCAGCATTAGCCTAGCTCGTGTCACCTGGTGACCCCAGTGTGCTCCATGACTTAAGTGCACCTCTCAGCATCAAAGCATACTGTGTCACCCGATGACTTCAGCTTGCCACTGTGCTCCGTTACTCTAGTGCGTCCTGCAGCATTTGAGCATTATGTGTCACCTGGTGACCCATTGAGCCCCTTGACTTGCACCTGAGAGCATGCTGGGTGATCTTGTGCCTCCAGGGAATCCTGTGTCATCTAGTGACTCCTAGTGCGCTCTGTGGTACTTGTCTCCACGCAGCCTCTAGCTTGCTCCTTCAGTCACCTGCACTGTCCTTCTCGCAGTGGATTCGTGCTCCTGCCCATGGCCGGAATATCACTTTTAGCCTTTCCTCTCTCTAGAGCCTGGCTGAGGTTTCAAGATCATGAAGATGATAAACCAATATTTCTGAATGTGTATTTCTATGTGTGATCGGTATTGAGAGACATCTGTCGGGTGATCGGTAACACAAGCAGCTCAGGGTCTGTGGTTTGGTGTAAAAATACACCCGACCATGCCTTCTCTCCTCATCCAGGGACAGCTGCGCGTTCCCGAAATCCAGTCCCTGGATATATTTCTTTGATCCCTTGCAGTATACGATATAAATTTGTTGGCGCTCCAAATGACCTTCCACCCGTCAGAAATGAGTATGCAGCTTGCGGGAAGGCGTGGGTGAATGTGTGGACGTGGACAGTTGTGTTTTTAAAATAGATGTTCAGATTCCCCTTATCACCAGTCCTGCGATATAGAAATAAATGCCCGAAAAACGCCTAAATACATAAATGGAGGGTATGTCCCCACCATATGGTTTATATGTCTGTTTAGCCAGTCTTCGGCTTTATCAAGCCCTGCCAGACAGCACGGCCAGATTGGTGACCTGACTTTTCTTTACCATATACAGCTTGGCCACCTCCCTACCCTCCTACTGTGTTTTATGTGCCATTGATGCCGACTGACAAGCCAAAGTTAGTAAACCAGCTTTGTATTTTACTTTCAGGACACAAGACGGAATTTCTGGCCATGGCCTCCTGCCTCCGTGAGTGCCTCTGCGAGGCCGAGCTCGAGCAGTATTACCCTCATTTTCTTGCAGTCGGCCTGCAGAAAGTCGAGGAACTGGCCACTGTGACCATGAAGGATTACTCCAGGCTGGGGGTCCACAACATGGAGGACCGCAAGCGGCTCTTCCAGCTGATCAAGATCATCCAGAGCGTGTCAGAGGAGGACAGAGAGGAGAGGACACCCCTTCAGCCTGGCTGTGTCTACCTCCAGCCCCAGACTAGTAGATCGGCCACCAGGAGGCAGCTGCGGTTTGAGGTCAATGACCGGGACTGCGATGCCTTTTCATCGCCAGAGATATCTTATCCTCAGCCCAAGAAATGCTCAGCGGAACCGACAGTAAGGGCGGCACCTACTGAGCAGTCTCATGGCCAGAAAGTCCTCCCATTGCTGGAAGAAGAGGAATCCAGCTCTTGTAAAGCAATGCAAGGCCTGCCACCAGGATCCAGAGACAGTGAGGCCCCTGTTATCCGCAGAGTAATGCATGTGTCGGGATATAATTATGGGGTGCCACAGCCATGCATGCGGTAAGATATTTACTACACATTATACAGGGGCCGTATTGGCCACATTATACAAATAAATTCAGTACTTGCATCATCAATGCTCACTACAGCACCGAGTACAAAGATCCTGATTAGGCGACACAAAGAGACCCTTAAAGATCCATTAGATCAACGGTTCTCAACCTGTGGGTCGCGACCCCGTTGGGGGTCGAATGACGATTTGCCAGGGGTCGCCTACAGACATCCCAACTCTCCCGGACGCTCCGGGAGTCTCCCGCTATTAGAAAACGGCTCCTGGCCGCCCTGGAGAGAAACACTGTCTCCCGGAAAGGTTTACTCTGCTCGATCGAGCAGAGTAAACCTTTCCCTGCTCTGGTTTTTTTCTGACATTGGAGCCGCAGGCCGCCTGAAACAAAAAAAATAAGGCATAGGAATGCATAGCTAGAATCTTATTGACTATTTCACTTTCACTTGGCTAGTTCTCCATCAGGTCCCCTTCTAGTGATTGACAGCAGCAGAGGGCAGGTGCAATAGTTAGTTTGCTATTGGCTATTGCAAAGTGAAATAGCAAATAGGAATCTAGCTATGCATTCCTATGCTGTTTTTTTTTTCTTCTGGCGGCCGGCGGCTCCGATGTCAGAAAAAAAATAATAAAAACAGCAGGGAAAGGTTTACTCTGCTCGAGCAGAGTAAACCTTTCCGGGAGAAAGTGTTTCTCTCCCGGGCGGCAGGGAGCCGCGATCTAATAGCTATCTAACGGTAGCAAAATTACAGCGATGAAGGAGCAACGAAAATAATTTTACTGTTGGGGGTCGCCACAACTTGGGCATTGTTATCAAAGGGTCGCGGCACTAGAAAGGTTGAGAACCGCTGCATTAGATGAACGTTGGAGGTGTGAGCAAAAAAAAAAACCAAAAAAACCTGGGCTAAGGCAGTGGTGGGCAACTCCGGCCCTTCAGCTGTGCTTTAACTACAAACTCCAACATGCCTGTGACTGTTAGTCTTGCAATGCCTCATGGGACTTGTAGTTTCACAACAGCCGGAGTTGCCCACCCCTGATCTAAGGTTAACTAAAGGTAAAGGGGTGAATTTAGCTTATCAGAAAGTGGCAGAGAGCGAAAAGGTGAGGATACTGAGCTCTCCCTCTCTACTTTGATGACGGCACAATCCCAGAATAAACTGTTTTTCACTAATCGGGTGTTTTGGGCGATTATTTAGATAACATATCTTTACCTTCCCTCACTTTGGAGGAACTGGAGCTGGCAAAGGCTAGTTTCCCGAACGATAAGGCCCCTGGGCCGGACAGACTTCCTATTGAAGTGTATAAGACATATGCCACGGCGCTTCTCCCTACCCTTCTGGATACTTTTAACGAAGCCTTCTCTGAAGGAAGCCTGCCCGCTACTATGTACGAGGCCACCATCGTAGTTCTGCCATAAATGGGTAAGGCCTTGTCCACACCAAGCGCGGAGCAGATCCAGAGCAGGTGCAGACCGGATCAAAACTGCGTCCAATGTATTCCTATGGTATTTTGACCTCTAGTTCACATCGCAGAGTGCGGATCCAGACCGGATGAAAAAACTGCGGCAAGCCCTATTTTACCTGCTCTGGAACGCATCTAAAATGCAAAAACGCATGCAAGTGCCTGAAAGCCCATGTTAAACTTACATTTATTTATTTTTACCAAAACCGGCCCTAAACGCATCCAAAACGCGGCACAACCCACTGCACTGCGTGTGCAGAAACCTGACCGGATCTGGTCTGCATTTGGTGTGAACAAGGCCTAATAGTCCGCTGTTGCCAGAATCGTACAGGCCTATCTCTCTTTTGAATACAGACATTCAAATTTTAGCTAAGGTACTCGCTACTAGGTTGTCTAAAAAAAAAAAGGTAAAGGGGTATTTCATCACTGAGGTCCAGAACAAGTCAAAACGTTTCTGGGGCTGTAAGGTTCCTCGTTGATCAGAGCTTACGCTGCTGGTTTGTATATGAATGTTGAACTCCTATTGGCTATTGGAGGGTCCATCCACACCCGGCTGCTATAGTACGCTTTTACAATAAGGAAGACCGCTTATTTCACAAATGTGTTTCATCCTGTGACTTGGACAGGCCGGGTTCCGCGGAGAAGGAAGGCCCCTGGACCGACACGGATAAAATCAGAGTCTGCGTCCGTAAACGTCCGCTGGGTTTAAGAGAGGAGAGACGCGGGGAGATGAGCGTGGTGAACGTGGAGGGCCCAGAAACCGTCGTGATTTATGAGAGGAAAGAAGCCGTGAATCTGAAAGAATACATTCTGCAGGTAAGGGGGGAACAGACTATGCTTCAGGCTCCTCTCTATCTTTCAGTCTTCATTGCAGTACTGCTACACACATGCTTTTTTCTTAAAGCTGCACTACAGGCTGCCGGAGGAAATGTATACATGGGAGCTGTTTTACCTGCCAGGGGATTTGTATTTTTGTTCATCCAGTCCTGAGATTTATACAAGCACAGCCCTCTGGCAGGACAGGAGGCCTGATTTTACCTCTGCTGCAGCTAGGTGACACGTACAGGTCTTTCGAGTGACTTGTCCTAACTTAGTATAGAGAAGGAATTCCGACTTTTTGCCTCTTATAAGCTTTTTGCGTTGACCTCTTTAAGACATAATATTCAGATGCCTGGATTGATAGAGATGAGCCTAGGCTAGATGCGAGCCCAGTTAGCCTAAATTCAACGAAGCACGCTTCAAACTCCACGCCCTCCTCCTGACCCAATCAGTGGCAGCTCACAAGCCCTCTATGTGGTAACAAAGAGGGTGTGACAGGTCCTCTTTATGGAGACATCAGAGGTCTATTAGACTCCTATTGTCACCTAGGGGCCCCAAAGAAGCTGATATAGCACAGATCTGCTTCACCAGCTTCTTCTCTGGCTACAGCAGCCAGAGAAATGACGGAGTGACACCGGAAGTGACGTAATACACATTGCTTGCAGGTTCAGTGATTGGAAGGGAAATCAGCCGGTAAATGTGTGCTGATCTCCCTCCGATAAAGCAGCAGAGACTTGCCGAGCTGGTCCCAAGCCAGCATGAAGCCCAGGAGAGCCGGGAGTGATGGTTCGTGGGGGGGCGCACACTCCCTGGCACCATACAAGCAATCGGGTGGCTCTTTAGCTGCCCGAATGCTTGTATGTAAAAGCCGTCGCCAGCTGTTTAAACTGTCACTCTTGTGCAGGGGTTTGGCGGAAGGGGTGGGTGTCATAGTGCACGTTAGCGGCAAAGGATGCTCTATAAACGCCCACCTGCCATCCGGGGTCAGGCAAGGGGTTCATGACACCCAGGGTGAGTTTCTGTATTTGGGATTTTATTTTGCACTTCTTTTTTAGTTTAATTTGCATGACATTTTATTTTTTTCACTTTCAGCATGTGTTTTATTTTGATGAAGCTTTTAGCGAGAAGTTGACCAATCAGGATGTGTACATGAAGACATCTCAGCCGCTTATTCAGCATGTGTTCAACGGGTAGGGGACAATACTGCATGCCGTTCATGTTGTCTTCCATTCACACTGCACATTGTTTATAAAATGATTTCACATTGATAACCATTTGAAGTTTCTAGCAATAAATTATGATACAGAGACCGAGGGGTCCATATTTATCCGTTCATTCTCCCAAGGAGCTTACATTCTAATGCCTCTGATCCAAAGGAAAAAACAGCATGGGCGGTTTGGACAGAAAACCTGTAAAGATTTAGACAGGGTGAGAAAGTGTTGAAATATACGGCATTATGGCCACTAGATGGAGCATAGGGGAATACGTTTTTATTTCCTATGCTCCTCAGCTCCATCTAGTAGCCATACTACGGTATTACATGATGACATTCGAAAACACATTCAACGTACACTCACTGGATACTTTATTAGGTAAATCCTAGTACCGGGTTGGCCCCATTTTTGTCTTCAGAACTGCCTTAATACCACATGGCATAGATTCAACAACGTGTTGGAAACGTTCCTCAGGGATTTTGGTCCATATTGACATGATGGCATCACGCAGTTGCTGCAGATTTGTCAGCTGTGAATCTCTCATTCCATCACATCCCAATGCTGCTCTATTGGGTTATTGGAGTTACTGTCGCCTTTTGTATAATCTCAAACCAGTCTGTCCATTCTCCTCTGACCTCAACAAGGCATTTTCCTCCACACAACTGCCGCTCACTGGATATTTTCTCTTTTTCGGACCATTCTCTGTAAACCCGAGAGATGGTTATGTGTGAAAATCCCAGCAGATCTGCAGTTTCTGAAATACTCCGACCAGCCCGTCTCGAACCAGCAACCATGCCAGGTTCAAAGTCACTTCAATCTCCTTTCTTCCCCATTCTGATGCTCAGTTTGAACTTCAGCAAGTCGTCTTCACCACGTCTAGATGCCTAAATGCACTAAGTTGCTGCCATGTGATTGGCTGATTAGATATTTGTCTTAACGAGCAGTTGAACAGGTGTACCTAATAAAGTGTCCAGTGAGTGCATAGAGAAAACACATGAGCACATTCGTTTTGTGCATCCATTAGTGCCGATAGAACATTCACAGAGATTCGCATTTGTATATAAATAGACCCCTAATATATATATTGTATTCATTGCGGGCTACCGGTGCTGAGGTGATGTGATGGCTGCATTGGTTTTTCATTTTCTGGTTCTATCTCCTGTTCTTTTCACCTCATAATACTATGAACAGCACACTTCCTGTGTGTCTACACTCATTTGTCATGGTACCTATGGAGGGAGCCTTGGTTCTCATACAGGCTGGAGGACTTCCAACATGTCTGCGTATGATCATCTCCATTACATGGTGGTTTGCTGGGGATAATAGTCTCCAAAGGGAAGAGAAAATTGTTCAAGCCGTCTTCCCCCAGTCATATTCAAGGACAGCAACCTTAGAGATGATTGTTTCTTCCCTCCTAGAAGGAACACAAGCAGAACAGTGAAGAACCCGTCCCATCCCCTGGTTTATATTGTGTTCAGTACCGTCGCAGAGCAGTACAATATTTGATGTTTCTTGTTCTGGATGGATGGCCTTTGGGTCAGTGGTCCCTCTTTTGATGCAGCTCTGCCTTGTCTAGGCCTTCCACCTTGATCAGAGTGTTCCTTTTTCCATTCCAGGATCTTGGGCCCCTGTGTATGTATGGGGGGTCAAGGTCACGGCATTTCTGGCACGACCATGGCCTGAAAAAAGGAAACAAATGCAGCCGCCACATCGAAGCTGCAATATATTAAATGTTTTGGGTTTAGATAGACTTTTGAAATTTAAGGGCTGTTTCTGTGTTTTTAGTGGCAATGCAACGTGTTTCGCTTATGGGCAGACCGGCGCAGGGAAAACATACACCATGATCGGGACCCAGAAGAACCCCGGACTATACGCTTTGGCTGCCAGAGACATCTTCAGGCTGCTGGAATCCACTCAGCCATCTAAAGACCTTTCCGTGTGGATCAGCTTTTACGAAATCTACTGCGGGCAGCTTTATGACTTGTTAAACGGGAGGAAAAGGTAAAGGACGCCCGTGTGTTGTGGACTGGTAGAACTGGTGACAAGTGGGCAATTTCCTACCCCTTGGCATGTGCTCAGCTCTGTCTGGTGTGTGTGCGCCTCATCTTGTGTCTGCCTCTGGCAGTCATGTCTGTGGCTTTCAGTCTTGCAATGCCTGGTGGGATTTGTAGTTGCACCACAGCTGGAGGGCCAGAGTTTGCCTACCCCTGCTGTAGAATCTCCTCACGGACTTCTTTATATCTACAAAACATTTTGTAGTGTGAGGGCCTACCTGAACAGTTCCGTTCATTTCCAGCCAGACCCTCATACTACAAAGATCTAAAGGAGATTGTATAATTGGATTGTAAAGTGTACAGCTAGTGTGTGTGTGTGTGTGTGTGTGTGTATGTATGTATGTATTATAATATATGAGTGACTGGCGGATCGGAATAATTCACATAATTTGATTTCCCATCTCGCAGGCTGCACGCCAGGGAAGACGGAAAACACGTAGTTCAAGTTGTGGGACTTCAAGAAGTTCAGGTGCATAGTGTGGACTTCCTGTTGGAGGTAAGTACTGTTCCTCACCTTCTGGACCTCTTAGGCCTTGTTCACACCGAAAGCGTGTGCGTTCCAGAGCGGTAGCAAGCCCTATTTTTGTGCATTTGCAGTGGAACGGAGCGCTGACAAAGTCTTGCCACGCGTCCGATCGCACTGCGGGCGGAGGGGTGTAGAAGCGGTGCCATTAAATTCAATGCACCGCCATGCGCCCTCCCGCCCCAGAACGCGGGGGGAAGTTTCTTCTTGATTGCCGTGCGTTCCAACAGCTACCGCTCTGGAACACACGCGTTTTCGGTGTGAACAAGCCCTAAAGTAAATCGGGAAGAAATTCAATTTTTATAGGTAGCCTCCAGCCAGCCTACCGTCCTAGTATTTCAGTTTTCCATCCTGACAGAGGCAGATTAGGGAAGGATGGGACCTTAGGCAAGGTTGCAGTTTTGGCACCCCCATCCTTTCAAATGAAATTGATAATGTTTGCACTAAGTCTAGAGAAGCCGCCATGTTTGCATTGTCTGTACCAACATGGCCCCCATCAGATACCAACTGTGCCTTCAAGTTCATCCTCCCTTGTGAAATGACAGGCAGGTGCATGGTTTGGCCAGTTGCTTTATCCCCCTAGCTTATTGCAGCAGCATCAAGTTTATAGCTGGGCTCATATTTACCAGCCTTAGTTGCCAATGGCTTCTGGTGTACAATTCACGTTATTGATAAATGGTGACATTCTTTTCTGTTTAGATGATCGCAAAGGGCAGCAGGGAGCGCAGCACAGGCGCCACCGGTGTGAATTCCGACTCCTCCCGCTCGCATGCTGTCATACAGATCCAAATCAAAGATGGCCGGAGTCGTAAACTTGGGAGGTGAGTGTGTGACATCTTCTGTACAATATGCGGATTGATGGCTCTCAGTCTTGGTTGATGTTTAGATTTACAAATACCGTGTGTAAGGGCAAGCAAATGAGGAACATTGTACAAAATCTCTGTGCAGTGAGGATCCATTCACACTGCTATGGTTAAGAACATTGTTACATTTACCAAATGTATTGTTGTTTTTTTTAAAAACCATTTGTATATTGCTTTTTCTTTTTCCTGCATTTTATCTAATAGTTCATGCCAAAAAACATATCTAAAGAGTCACTCGTCAAAGTGACATCCACTTTATATTTGCTTCTCCGCCATTTTTTCTTGGTAGCCACTTCAAAATATCCAGGGCTTGCAAGCAGTGGGAAGCGTGCAATCTCCTCCCTAATGCAGTGCTCAGGACATGATGTCAACGTTCCCTCTTCAGGTTCAGTGAGATTTCAGTGAACTTGGCTGTGCAGTCATTCCCTGGTGGACCTTTATGGGATCTTCTACTGAGGCTGGAGACACTTTGAAAGCTGTCCCATAGAAGTCAAAGAGGATTGTAGATGGGGTCAACGCAAAGCAGACATTGTAAACATTGGGTGGGCAGCGGGATTAAGTATACATCTGGGCAGGAGAGCTTGGGTTACTTTAGGATTGGAGGGGAAGAAAAAACAATAAATGCACCTTCCCTGCCCCAACCTGTCCGTCTATCACTTCTCTGACTGCCTTTATGCGTTCCCTAAAGACTCATCTCTTCATGGAAGCCGATCCCACCTCAACTTAACCACTCAACCAACACTTTCTCAAACAATTCATCCCCACACAGCTACCTCCTCATGTATCACTTGCCCCTCCCTTTTTAGATTGTAAGCCCTCAGGGGCAGGGCTCTCCTTACCATCTTGTCTTGTTTTGTATTGTAACTCTAATGTCTTCCTTACATTGTAAAGCGCTGCGCAAACTGTTGGCACTATATAAATCCTATGTAATAATAATAACTTTCCTCTAATAATATATCAGTATACATAGAACATGGTGCTGGGTTGCCTTTTATTTGGTATAATCATCTCAATGTAACATCTCTTGTCCACCTTAGAATGTCCTTCATTGACCTGGCTGGAAGTGAGAGGGCGGCTGATGCCCGGGAATCGGACAAACAAACCAAAATGGAAGGAGCAGAGATCAACCAAAGCCTCCTTGCTGTGAGTGCGTGCAACCTCATCTCTGGAAATATACCATGACTGTGCATGGGGACCTATAATTATTCTGAGCACGGGTGAGAGGTTGACCACTAAAGGGCCCCTCAAACAACCAGTTCACTTAGTGACAGGAATCCATGTTTTACAGCCTGACTTGCATAGCAGATCCCGTGTTTAGATTCACTGGACTGATAGTGATACAAGTCTGGGCGAGCAGCATACATTTTATTATGTAGAGTAAACCTGTCTGCGTTCACCAGTAATAATAATACATTGTGTTTTCTCATCAGCTAAAAGAATGTATCCGGGCCCTGGACCAGGAGCAGGCCCACACCCCATTCAGACAAAGCAAACTGACCCAGGTGAGATCTGTAAAGGATGAAATCTATTCGTCCTTTCCTAGACAGGACCACATAGGCACC